CGGAGTGTGAAGGGCCCGCCACAGTGGCGGGATGGTGTCTGGGAAGGCAACTCCTGGTGTCTGTTCAGGGAAACGTGTGTGACAGTTACAGGGAAGCCCTGGACCCAGGAACCACCTAGTAAAAGGCATCAAAGGAAGAGGGGCCATGGCATGGTGTAGTCGGGGCCCCAAGGCGCGGTGAAGGAGGACTGGGGGACAGGAAGACTCAAGGATCTCAGAGGCAGGACCCGTGCAGCTCTAGCACCTAGCAAGCCCCACCCTTAGTAGCTGCTACGAAAAGGTTCACAGTCAACAGGTGGGCTCACGCACCTTCATTTGTAAAAATCGAGATAAGGCCACAAAGTTAGGAAACGAACAGAAAAGCAAACAAAATAAAGTTCAGCCCCACCAACTAAAGAAATACACATTTTTTAAAATACCATGTTATACCTATTCACCCAGCAAAACTTTTAAGTCATAAATTCTGATTCTGCTATAACAGATGGACATCACATATGCATCTCCTCGCCACCCCCAGACCCCCCTATTCCAGCCAGAGTGATGTGACATGGGGCCAATCCCTTCACGCCAGGCTTCTGGGGAGCTGCTCTGCTCACAAACCAACTCCAAGCTCCCTGAAAGTCAGCACAGCTTAGGGTCCTTTCAAGGGCTGTCCTCTTTCTCTGTCTCTCTGTCTCTGTCTCCCTGTCTCTCTCCCCGCCACCGCACTTCTCTTCTTTCCCTCTGTCTCTCCCCACACTCCAGCCTCATTTCTGTCTTCCCAGCCCCACATGGTCCCCACGGCTGCTGAGCCTCCTTCGGTTGTCTCTGTGAGTCACAGCCCCACCCCATCTGGACTCCACGCATGCTGTTCCTCCTGCTGGAACACTGTTCCGCACCTCAGTCTCCCTTCCTGGATCCCTTCCCCCATCCCCCTCACCCTCCTCCTAATCCATCCCTACGAGCACAACCTCACCAGTGTAGGGGCTCCCAGAGACCAAACATAGAACAATCTGGGTATCCAAAACAAAAATGGCAAAAATACACAATAACATTGACAAAAAAA